CTTTTCGAAGAACAAATTTAAGATTAATAAAATCTTAAAGATTAAAAGATTAGTAAAATTTAAAAAAGCAGTCGAGAAGAAAATTCGTCTTTTTAAAATTATGGACTGAAATTCGAGGAAATTTTTTTTCTTCAGAGATGAAAGAAGCAACGTTTGTGACATATATTTGTCGTTATTATGCCCGCAAGTTTCGTCAAGTTGTATTACGGTATTATGTTTGTGAAATATGTCTCAACATGAGAAAGTAATGCTCATATTTTTAGGTTTTTCCCAGTTGAACGAATATTTCGTTCAAGCGAAAAAAGCCATTTCTTCTTGGTTTCAAGAGTAACATTCTGTTGCCCATCCAATCTATTGCAAACGAATGAAAGTTTGAAAATTTTGAGGTTTTTAATAAATATCTTCTGCAGTTGTTGGAGCTGGGTCAGTTGTGTGGATTAATGCCGGATACAAAATCTGGGCCCTCGAGCCAGCAGTTGCACATCGTTGTTAGTTTAATTGGAGGGATTTCCGATGAGGATTCCTTCGAGAGCAACAGTCCACCTTCTCAGCGATTATCTCCGCAAGACCGCTTGAAAGAAGCCATCTCATCAAAAGAAGGATTCCAACGTCATTACCTGGTATGTACAGGGTGATTCACGCGCAAAATAGATGCAAAGAAGCGTCAATATTTTATGGAATATGCTTCAAGCTTAAACAGACTGTCCTCACGTCAACCAATTCATTGAAATGTGGGAAAAGTTGTGGACCTTTTCTGCACCCTTGTGAATGGCGCAGGAAAAGTGCGAGTAAAATTACTTTAGTCTGAAGATCATTGTTTCTGAAAATTTTAGAAATGATGAGAACATTTGAATAGTGCCTTTCAATATTCTGTCACGTGAGCTCATCAGTGACAGAATAATGCTCGGATATTCTCTGAAAAGGCGAAAACTTAGTACTCGGGATATTTTTGGGCTCGTTCTCTTGAGCTGGTACTTGAACTTATCGATTCTTATCTGCAGGAATTATGCGAATTAGCCATGGGAACTTACAAGCACGTGGGTCGACTTCGTGCTGCTCGAGAAATCGGACTCGATTTGGCGAATTTTTATCTGCTGATGAAACAACCTGCTCGAGCGATGCCCTTTTTTGTGGAAGCATGTTCTGGCTATTCGAGGGAAGGTTGGCACAGACTGTCTACAGATGCGAGACTCAAAGTAGCTGTTTGTGCAAAAGCCGTTGGGGATTATCCCAGGTTTGTTTCGCAGTTGTCATTATCAGCAGATGCAGTTATTTTTAATTTTTATTCATCTGCGTCATAATCCCCTGGGAAGTTGTATAACCTTTCTTGTAACCTGACTTTCGTTTAAGTACGCCTTAGGTTTTGTAAGTGAAGGATAAAATATTGTGAGGCAAAATTAATAAATATTCATTGAGAAAAGTCTCTTCAACCACTTCCTTTTTATGCCTACTTAGGTAAACGAATTCTTGGAATAATGTACTACACATTCTGAAAATTTCACTGGATTTAAGAAGTATGTTTTTAAAAAAACGAAATATGATTTCGAATTTTCTACTCTCGTCAAATTTTTAGCGGACTATGAAAATAGTGGAGAACTCTGGCCATCAATGAGATCTTACTTCTCATCAATTAGTGTTCTGAATAAATTTATTATAAATCTGAATGCCTAAAACATCGTTGGGAAAATTGTAAAAGTTTTTTCCAAAATTTTACCAGCGTTGGAAATCAATAATCCTACGTGGAAATAGGAAAACCCTTGCCTACTGTGACCAAGTTTGTGAGGATCTTCGCCGACCAGAACAATTAATAACATTGGTGTTCACTATTTTTTTTTGTAGATATTTGAAGACTTTGGTGCTGCTGGCATGCAGTTCAACGCTGAATGAAGAAGAGAGATTGCGCTTTCAGAAAGAGATTTTGTCAGTATTGCCGAAAGTTTCAGTAGGTGAGACGCAGCAAAGAATTCTCGCCTTAGCATGTTCAAAACAAAAAGTAATAATAATAATGTGTAATTTTTGTAGATGATGAAGTAAGTGTGAAAGCCGGTGACGTTCTGGAAGTGGAAAGTCTCAAAATTTTGCACGAATTCTGCCGGGACGGACGCGAGGACAAATTCGGCGGGAAACTCGTGGCCGATTCCGAAGCTCGTGCAGAAATGATGTTGCGTACGAGATTCCCTGCCCCGTTGGTTGCCGACAAGGTTGTGCTGAAATTGAGGCATCGCGGGACGATGGCTTCTGAAAATACGAGGTCGGGTCACGCGAGTGCCGAAAAGCATGGTCATCCTGCTTTTGGGCGGGAGAGAAAAGGGAGTCATTCGAGTCCAAATCAAAGTCCTGCGACTTCCTTGACACCTGGGTCAGGGGATGTGGATCAAGAAGGTTTGTTTCGAGAATTCCTAAAATTTTGATGTAGTCTCATTACGGAAATTGAAAATTAATTTTAAATGTACCTTTGGAAAGTTCGTTGTGTGCTTTTGCACGCTATTTTTCCCCGAGGGGATTATTACATTGAAAGGAACGTCAAATCAAAGTCGAGGAGATGTTGACTTATTTTACTGATAGTGGAATGGAGTTTTCCTGTCCAAGTTTAGTGGAATGCAGTTTTCCTGTCCACGTTTAGTGTAATGCCGTGTTCCTGTCCAAGTTCCGTGCGCCTTATATTAAAAAAGGCTGCTTTCTCTTCGCTATGATAAATTCGAGGATTCTTCTGAACATTTAATTCTCAAGAGTTGTAAAAATTTCCTGAAGAAATTATTCTTTTTGTAAAATGCCTTTGTAAAATCTGATTCCATTTTTTTCGTAAACTGTAGTTAAAGTTTAAAATGTAACAACTTTTTCAGAAAAAGATTTCATTCTTGACCAAGGTTAAACAATTTGAGTAATTTATTAACGAATGCGTTTTTCATTAGTAATGTCATTGTGAACAATTTCTTGCTTCTCATGTGCTCCTGAAAAAGTTTCAAAATGTTTTCTGTTTGCTAATTTTTGCTTGTCTTTTAGAAAATTGGATGGGACGGGTATCGTTGGAAACATTCCAATTGAATATGGTGGAAAACTTCGAATACAAGTTGGACAAAACTATTTCAGTTGCCGGTGTAGGATGCCAAAATTTCCAGCGTTTGATTAAGTAAGTATTCGTTCGATCAAGTAAGATAATTATTTTTTTTAACTTTTTAGCTCTCATGGTTTGATAACTCGAAATCGTGGCTGGGCAACAGTGAATTTTTGTACAGAAGTTTATAGAAACCTAAGGGAGCTTAATTTTAGCTGCAAAAGGGTTGTATATTTATAGAAAAAAGTATGACCTGTACTAAATTCGCGGCGTGCCGTACTCGAATTCGATTTCTTGCACTGGGCAGCGTACAATTTCAAAAATTTCGAGTGGTTGTCAATTACATAACTTTTCTGTATTTAATCCTTTTTAATTTTAATCACGACGGGTCAATTCCGGGTTTTAACTCAAATTTGACAAAGGTGCCTGAATATTTTGTCAGTGTTTTATTTTCGGGAGAAACAAGGCACCCGATTGCTTTTCTAATTTTTTTCTTCATCTTCAGAAGAAAGGACACCATATCCCCGAAAGCCCGTCTGACGTCAACCTCGTCGAATCCGTTACCCGAGCAAGACATCTCCGAACTGGAGTCGTCCACTGTGAAATTCGTACCCGGAAAGTCGACCTACGTTCTCGTGTCTGCCAAACTGGGCAGCAAGGGACGTTACGTGGGCTACGAAATAGTTGTCAGTTTGTTTTCCGGCAAACTCCGACTAGTGTACGCTCCTAGTTTTCCGTTCGTCAGTTTCTCGGTGTTCAGTGAGCCGGCTTCCGTGACTGTGGCTCCCGCGACTCGGGATCTGATGGCCGGATTGGAGGAAACATTTTGCGTGCTGGTGAAGAGCGGCACTTTGAACATTCCGGAAGTGAGTCTCGGGTGGAAGTTATTTCCGTCTTTGTCCCTGTTTAGAAATGGCGTTATTTTTATTTTGGGAGCGGGAAGCCCTTGAAGCGATGGCAACCCTGTTGTCAAGAGACGTTATTAAGTTCAGAAAAATTTTAGGAATTTTCTGCAGTCCGGTTAGGTGAAGCTGTTCACCTCAGGATTCCTTTTCAATATTGCGCTTGTCACATTGAACTTTTCAAATTAATGATGTTCATTTTCGATTTATTTGTTTTTTTTTTTTCAAAGGGGGAAAAAATCGTGCTGAAACCCACCCGAGGCTTGGAACTTCGACTGCCTTCTCAGACGAAGTTCTCTGATGGTGTTACACTCGAACTTCCGGGAATGAAGCCGTTCTGCGAAGCACAGTTTGAAGTGAAAGCCTTCTGCTGCTTGAATTCTTCCGGACGCGAAGGAACGCTATCCATTCCTCATAAAGTAAGTTGGGAATACAGTATTCCGAAAGCTCATACCGACATTTTTTGTTACCTCAGTAACTCGAGTTTTATCGTATCTTGAATTTAAACCGGAATTTTTTCTAAGTGAGGTAATTTGGATGGGAGGGTATGTTTTTTCTAATTGTTGTCTTCAAAACTTGTAAAATTCTGCAAGTTGAGAGCAAGAAATTATCAGAATTGCTTAAATCTTCTATGAAACAATTTTGAATCCTCAATTCCATGCTTATAAATTTTCAAATTTTACAATCATTTTCACCTGGTGAGTGTCTGGGACGAATTAAATAAAGTAATATCCAATTTAACCGTATGGAAAAACGCTTTTCGCATAACGAAGCGCACTCAGGAAAGAAGTAGTTTCGTTGTTCGGGGAGTGGGGACCCACAGTATTACGAAAGAGAGAAACCGTTTCTGCATGAGTTTCGCGCGAAAATTTTTTCTTTCTTACATTCAACAAAAATTGGGATGATATATATATTTTTCACGTCTTACTAGATTGTGGTTGACAAGAAATTGTAAGAGCAACAGGAGAAACAATTTTGAAGCCTCAATTTATTGCTGGAAACTACACAAAAATGTATTGTTAATTATGGTTGACTGCTGAGTGTCTGGAATTGAATAATGTACGATGCAACCTTAGGGAAAACGTGTTTCGCGAAAAAAAAAACGCGTCGAAAAGGTAATTAGTTTCATTGTGCGGGAACCCATCGTCCTGCGCCATGAAAGAGAGAGAAATACTGTATCTCTGTGTATCGCGCGAAAATATGTGTTTTTAATTGAGACAGACAAGTAGGATGATTATTTTATTTATTCATTTGACTTATCTCCAGATTGCGGTTGACGCGAAATGGTCAGAGCCGTGCGACGACCTGGAACTCTTCTTCGACCGTCCTTTTTCCTTCGAACACCGGATCCTGACTGCGTGCGACAAGAAGTTTGTGCGTGTGGGTCTGCGTGCCACGCGCGATGTGATGTTTGCCGTGTCCCGTCATTCCCTCAAAGTGATGAGCGGCAGTCCGGGGTTGCAGGACTGTCTACGAATGTTGAACCCTGTGGCCGAGGTTCTCAAGGTAACCAAGGATTTTGGTGCCAATTACGTGTGGGAACTGGACCTGAGTCGGGCGAGTGGCAACGCGATCGGGTCCAAGTTGGTGCTGGAGTTTTCTGCCGATTTCCGGCTGGACTCGGAATCCGGACAGTCCAAGAGATGTGATCATGTTTTCGAGTTGACTAATTTTAGGGTGAGCCTTTTGTATTCACACATCTTTTTTAGAGGCGTTTGTGATTTTGCCCCCTGAACTATCCCGCGAATAACGTGCGTTTTCTTTGCTCAAAATTAAATTGGGCCGCGTTATAAGTTTTTCATTTTAGCTGAAGTTCTTGATCGCTTTTTGACTAAATTTTACGCGATTTCCGTGTGGACTTGGGATCCGGACAGTGAAAAGAATGCGATCATGTTTTCGAGTTGACCAATTTTATGGTGAGCCTTTTAATTAATTATTGGGGCGCTTTTGATTTTGCCCCTCAAATTATTCTGCAAATACTGATACTGTATAATTTGTAATTTTTTGCGAAAATTGGCTCAAATTAAGTTCGGGCTGCATTAAACATTTTTAGCTGAAGTCCCTGATTACTTCTGATGAAATTTTCTGCGATTTCCGGTTGGGCTTGTGATCCGGTCAGTCAAAAAAAATGTGACATTGTTTTCGAGTTGAGCAATTGTCGGGTAAGCCAGTTCTTTATTTTGAGGCGTTTTTGTGTGTGTTTTTTTCCCTCAAAATATTTCGCAAATGCTGATACAGTATAATGTTCCTGTTCTTTACCCAAATTGGCTGAAAAGAAAATCAGGTAGCTTCTTGGATTTTTGCTGTAGTTCCTGATCGCTTTTGACTGAATTTTCGGTTGGACTCGAGATCCGGAGTCCAAGTTATGTGATCATGTTTTAGAGATCAATTTTAGGGAGAGCGTTTTATTTATTTTTTGGTGTTATTGATATCGTCTGCATTTCCGTTTTGCCCCTGAATTTATCCCGCGAATACTGCTATGACTTGCAATTTTTTGCAAAAATTTTCTTTGAATGAAATTTGCCCGCGTGTTCGAATTTCAGACGAAGTTCCTTATGGCTTTTGACTATATTTGCCACATTTTCAGACCTTGTATGCTGTGAGATCGGTTGTGGTAATTTTTTGCAAAAATTTTCTTTGAATGAAATTTGCCCGCGTGTTCGAATTTCAGACGAAGTTCCTTATGGCTTTTGACTATATTTGCCTCATTTTCAGACCTTGTATGCTGTGAGATCGGTTGTGGAGCCAGTGAAAGGATCCGAATTCTGCCGTGCCGGTGCCATGTGCGTGATGAACGTGCACATACACCCATTATTCGATCCCGGTCATCAGCAGCAGAAAAGCAGCAACAACAACGACAGTAACCCGGACCCACCTCGAAATCTAATGTACGAGATCCTCATGGACCCCGGGTCTTGGGCTCCCAATGGCCGCACGTCCAACGTGGTCACCTTTGACGCCACCCGACGCGACTTCGACGCCTCTGTGGAACTGATGCCTTTGCGTGGTGGATCCCACGCGTTGCCCACTGTGCGTGTGTCCAAGTATACTAGTGACGGAGTGGCGCATGCGAGAGTGGAGCCGTTTGCTGTGGGCCAGGTGTACGACTTCAGTAGAGGTGCGACGGTGCAGGTGCTGCCACCTGCGGCGCATCACAGGCAACCTTCTGGGTCTAACTCGGCACACTCGAGTTTGGAGGCGTTTGGGTGATTTGATTGGTTTATAGCAGATTGGATGAAGAGGGATGGGGGGATTTAATGAGAAAAGGCGCCTTTTGGGTTGGAAATACAATTTTATTTGCATTGCGAATATGTGTACTATTTTTCCTGTTCGCTTTTTTTTCTGGCGCGTTGATCTTGAATCCTGAAATATTGTGAAAATCGCTGATTTTTTTTGCAAAATTAAATTGATCATTACAGAGAAATTTTCCTTATACGAAGATTCTTGTTTTTGAAGTACGATTTCCCTTGAAAGAATGTTGAAATGTTTTGATTTATTCCAGGGAAATCGTAACCAGAAATCCATCTTTTTCACGGTTTTTGAAAAAATGTCAAATGTGTATAATGCGAGCAACAAATTGAATCCTTTCTCCAGCTGTTTTTTTTTTTTCGGGTTCATACGCACTGCTGTTTGGCACAAGGTGGGCAGACGCGTATGAGCTCTGAAAACAGAAACAACATATGATGCAGTACTACGAAATAATTCTACTACAATAATTGATTTTATTCCCTGTCTATTTTCTAGGAGTGAGTGAAATGGTGCACAACTCAAGGATGCCTTTTCGGATCATTGTGAATGACACGAAAAAAGTTCGTGTTGTGAGTACAATTTTAATCAACCTCTTATTGCTTTTGCTTCATGATTTGTATTACAAAGTAATACGTCACCTGGAATTTGATGCCGCAGAATTCACCTGAGAACAACTTCAACCAACTTGAAGAAATTTTCATTTTTTTCCTTTGGAAATTAATTTCATTGCCATTTACTCGATATCACTGAAACTAAAAATTGAATGTTACAAATTTCATAGATTCCATTCACCCAATTGAGAATTGTATCAACCATTCAACAGTCCATGGAAAAACCCCAGAATAAAACGATAAATAACTAAAAATTAAGAAATCTTGTATTAAATGCTTGTTTGATTAAAGTTGAAAGTATGCACAATGGCTCACGAATCTTCCCAATGCAGCAAAATATGATGATCATGTTTATCAAATTTTTATCATATACCGCTACTGTATATTGATGCATTCCTCAATTGAACCTTGAGGCCATTATGTTCAATGATTGCCAGCAAGCCTGAGTTTTTTATCGAAATTGTTTTTTCATGCGATTGTTGTGTTGATATGCAGCGTCATCTATGACAATAAATTCACAACTCTGTAGAAAACGTGGATTTATCGGATGTAGATGACAATATGTTTGTTGGATGGATTTCTTGAAATGATGGTTTCCAGCGGTACAGTACAGTATTGATATGCATTGTAGTTTAGTGCGTTAACAGCTACTGCTGGTAGACGTGATTGTGAAAAAGAACTCATTCAGGTATATTCCAGTAATTATCAAGGTAAGCAGGAAATTTATTATTTTAGTTTTTCTACAGGGTAACATATAGAATGCGCATGGTTTAGAATAGATTTTGTCTCAGAATGTACCCCATGAACTTGCCTGGTGTAATAAGTGAATTTGTAGATTATTTGATTAATTTGTGTTGTTTTGGACACCCGTGACAAATATATTTACCCCTGACGTTAGGTGGTTTTTTGTCTCTAACCTTTTATACAATGATAAAATTGCCTGTTACAGTATTTATGGTGCTGCTGGTGGTTCATTATACTTTATGACCGTCTGTGGACTTATGAATTTTTGCAATAATTTAGGTTTATGCGTTCCCAAGGGTACTCATATAAGCTGGGTCATTTTTGACATTTTATTCAGATGCATTTACTGTACATACTGTGTGTAGTTTATGTAGGATGAGGCTTGACCCGTCTGTGATTTCAGCAGAAAGTGTATCTGATTATGATATGGAAGTGTTCTTATTCATGCATTGTAAATTTCTGCAGAACCACAAAATTGATGCATTTATTTACCTAAATGAGGATCCTTTTGAGAAAAATGGAAATTATTACATATTAATGGAAATTATTGTAAGATGTACTTGATCCGATATTTTTCTTCGTCCGATTCTTCTTCAATAACGTGCATGAAACCCAACTTACATATAATCCTCTGGTTGCGTTTTTAAAAAATTCAGATTGTTGGGGAATATTCTCATTTATATTCATGAGCACAAAATGTATCAAGGCCATATGCCCTTATTATTTCGTTGCGTACACCATGATTGTTGAACTTGGAAAATCACAATTTCTTCTATAGACTACTGGTCCCGAACTTGAAATGTCTGAAATATTAGTAACTTGATAAAATTGAGCTTCATATACACGAAATACAGCTTATATGCTGTCAACGAATTTATTTCATGTACAAAAGCGTTGGGATGTTTTTGAGGTACTGTTCATCAATCAAGGCATAGTTTGACCTCATGTTTTACTCTGANCCCGGGTCTTGGGCTCCCAATGGCCGCACGTCCAACGTGGTCACCTTTGACGCCACCCGACGCGACTTCGACGCCTCTGTGGAACTGATGCCTTTGCGTGGTGGATCCCACGCGTTGCCCACTGTGCGTGTGTCCAAGTATACTAGTGACGGAGTGGCGCATGCGAGAGTGGAGCCGTTTGCTGTGGGCCAGGTGTACGACTTTAGTAGAGGTGCGACGGTGCAGGTGCTGCCACCTGCGGCGCATCACAGGCAACCTTCTGGGTCTAACTCGGCACACTCGAGTTTGGAGGCGTTTGGGTGATTTGATTGGTTTACAGCAGATTGGATGAAGAGGGATGGGGGGATTTAATGAGAAAAGGCGCCTTTTGGGTTGGAAATACAATTTTATTTGCATTGCGAATATGTGTACTATTTTTCCTGTTCGCTTTTTTCTCTGGCGCGTTGATCTTGAATCCTGAAACATTGTGAAAATCGTTGATTTTTTTTGCAAAATTAAATTGATCATTACAGAGAAACTTTCCTTATACGAAGATTCTTGTTTTATGAAGTACGATTTCCCTTGAGAGCATGTTGAAATGTTATGATTTATTCCAGGGAAATCGTAACAAAAAATCAATCGTTTTCACGGTTTTGGAAAAAATGGCAAATGTGTATAATGCGAGCAACAAATTGAATTCTTCATTCTACAGTTTTTTTTCGGATTTTTACGCACTGCTGTTTTGCACAAGGTATGCAGACGCGTATGAGCTCTGAAAACGACAGAAACAACATATAATGCAATACTGTACTAAAAAATAGTTCAACTAATGGATTTTGTTCGCCTGTTTAATTTCTAGGAGTGAGTGAAATGGTGAACAATTCAAGGATGCCTATTCGGATCATTGTGGAGTGAATGGCACGAGGGAAATTCGTGTTGTGAGTACATTTTTAATGAACCTCTCTTCGCTTTTGCTTTATGTTTTTTTACGAAGTAATGCATCACCTGAAATTTGATGCCGCAGAATTCACCTGAGGACAACTTCAACCAACTTATTGAGGAAATTTTCATTCTTCTCCTTTGGAAATCAATTTCATTGCCATTTACTCAAGATCACTGAAACTAAAAATTGAATGTTACAAATTTTATAGATCCCATTCACACAATTGGGGATTGTATCGACCATTCAACAATCCATGAAAAAAAACCCAGAATAAAGTGATAAATAACTAAAAATTCAGAAATTTTGTATTAAATGTTTGTTTGATTAATAATGAAAGTATGCCCAATGGCTCACGAATCTTCCCAATGCAGCAGAATATGATGATTATGTCTATCAAATTTGCATCATGCACTGCTACTGTATATTGATGCATTCCTCAATTGAGCCTTGAGGGTTGAGGCCATTATGTTAAATGATAGCCAGCAAACCTGGGTTCTTTTTTATCAAAATTGTTTTTTATGGTTGTTGTGCTGATACGCAGCGTCATCTATGACAGTAAATTCACAACTCTGTGGAAAACGTGGATTTATCGGATGTAGATGACAATATGTTTGTGGGATGGTTTTCAGCAGTACAGTATTTATATGCATTGTAGTTGAGTGCGTTATCAACAACTGCTGGTAGACGTGATTGTGAAAAAAAACTCATTCAGGTATATTCCAGTAATTATTAAGGTAAGCAGGAAATTTATTATTTGAGTTTTTCTACAGGGTAACATATAGAATGCGCATGGGTTAGAATAGATTGTGTCTCAGAATGTACCCCATGAACTTGCCTGGTGTAATAAGTGAATTTGTAGATTATTTGATTAATTTGTGTTGTTTTGGACACCCGTGAGCCGTGACAAATATATTTACACCTGACATTAGGTGGTTTTTTGTCGTTAACGAGCAAATTGCCTGTTACAGTATTTCAGGTACTGCTGGTGGTTCATTATATTTTATGATCGTCTGTGGACTTACAGTATACATTTTTGCAATAATCAGGTTTTATGCGTTCCCAAGGGTACTCATATAAGCAGGGGCATTTTTGTGACATTTTATTCAGATGCATTTACTGTACATACTGTGTGTAGTTTATGTAGGATGAGGCTTGACCCGTCCGTGATTTCAGCAGAAAGTGTATCTGCTTATGATATGGAAGTGTTCTTATTTATGCATTGTAAATTTCTGCAGAACCACAAAATTGATGCATTTATTTACCTAAATGAGGATCCTTTTGAGAACAATGGAAATTATTACATATTAATGGAAATTATTGTAAGATGTACTTGATCCGATATTTTTCTTCATCCGATTCTTCTTCAATAACGTGCATGAAACCCAACTTACATATAATCCTCTGATTGCGTTTTTAAAAAATTCAGATTGTTGGGGGATATTCTCATTTATATTCATGAGCACAAAATGTATCAAGGCCATATGCCCTTATTATTTCGTTGCGTACACCATGATTGTTGAACTTTGAAAATCACAATTTCTTCTATAGACTACTGGTCCCGAACTTGAAATGTCTGAAATATTAGTAACTTGATAAAATTATCGAAGTATATGTGCTTTATGTCGAATATACGACAGTTGCTTAAATAAAGTACATGTTTTCGCAACCCTACAAAAACTCCATGACAAGTAGTTAGTTCCGTATCAAACTGGAGTACAAAATGAGACTGGGGCCCCAAAAATTAAACAGGAAGTTTAGAAGTCAGAGGAACCAGAACTTTTGTGGGGAGGAGAAGGGTGATGAAGAATTTTTTTAGGACAATGGTA